TATTTTCTGGTTCTTTCCTTTCTTTGAAACTTTTGCAAAGGAACTAAATTTTTATTTTTCCTTTTGAAACATAATATCAGTTTCTTAATTGTATCACATTTTCAGACTAAGAAAGAGTTACTTGATGCTGAAATGGATTTGTACAATAAGCAACTACGGGGCGACGACACAGCTGAATTACTATCTAGAGTTAATGAATTAAAGCAAAAGGTAAAACATAAGTTCACATTTCCTTTGTTGTGTTTTTATTCTTATTTCATCTCCTTGATGAGTGGTATGAAATGCAGCTGTCCATGAATTTTAGATTGTTTGTTCTGTTGATTTAGTTATGTTTCTCTTTGTAATTTTGCAAATGCATGAAAGTCCATAGGACTATCCATGCTTCCAAACAATTTGATTTTATTTGGGAGTAATTGCTTTAAAAAATATGAGTGTCAGTTATATTTAGTAAAGTTTCTGAATAAGAATATTACTAATTTTTGGAGGTACTGAATGTACAGGTTTTTATTGTGAGGAACATTCATTTTAACTCCTTTTTAATTTTAGTATGTGTGGTAATTAGATTTCAATGCTTTAGCACAGTAATCTCAAACTGAAATTGCACACGGGCCGAATGCACAATCTGTAAACAGCTGTGACAGGCCAGATTTTTTTTGTATCTTAACAAAATAAATTTTTTTAGTTAACAAACAAACAAATAAAAAAACCCACGAGCGCGTGCACTGGGTCCAAAGGACTTGCGCGATTAAATAAACCTTTCTCAAAGTGCACGTATTTTACGCAAGTTGTTGAGGTCCAGTGTAGTCATGTCTTAGGTCAACCTCTTTATGTTTTCGAAGATTTTTCATTGGGATTTTATTCGGAGTCCTGATTTTGATGCGAACAAGTCTTTTAGACCCAGCGTGCCTATTCGTGTTACTATTTCATAGTTGATTTGTGATAGTATAAAAAGCAGCAAAAATGTCACGTTATTTATTATACAACGAAGAAATGTTGCAAAAGGTATCAGAGGTATCAATTGGCAAAGAATGTATTGAAGAAAATGAGGATGGATGTGATCATGAATTTTTATTTGACTTGATTCTGATCAGACAGTGATATATTCTGAAACGAGTGTGAGAAAGCACAATTTTGAGGGAAAAAATTACCGGAAGGGGGAAAAAAAAAAGAGATTGCATTGTTTGTCCAGGAAAAAAGTACAAAAAAACGAAAACGGGTTTCGCTGAATATGAAAAATATTTGTATTTGGAACACATGAAAACACTTTCTTCAATATACTGCTCACGTTTGTTGTTGCATTTTCATCTATTTCTATAGTGCTAATAAAGAAAATGAGAATTGACAAAGAGTAAAGAGTATCGATACTGTACTATTTTTTTTTCCTGTGCTTAATTAATTAGTTTTCTATTCCTTTAGAAATTTTGTTTCGTAAAAGCATTTGGAGAACTTGCATATTTTAAAAATTTTATCATAAATTTATTATTGACCTAAATGTCCCAGTGTTTTCTGAATATTCACAACATTTTCTTCAAAAAACAAGAACTAGGTCTTTTGGACCCAGTTGCTCGTGGGTTAACTAAATTTTAGATGCTGCTTGCTAAATACATAAACAATAATAATGATAATGCAAAATAAAAAATTCAAATTTATATTTATTTTCTAACTGAAATCTAAAGTTTGATACCCGCAAGAAATTGTTAGTTACACTTGGAATTCAAACATACATGGCAGTTAAATATATTAATATTTTAGACTGACATTTATTTCAAATAGTTCTAATATCTTTAATTAAACATTAAGTGACTTTCATTTAAACAAAAATAAACAAATTATGGGAACTTACTAAGATAAAGCTTTCTGAGTGGGACAAAACTTAAGAATATTTAATGAAACCCTAATCTTTTCCTCTTATTTATTAAATTTTTCATTGATACATAAAAAGATATGTTTGTATGTAAATTATTATAAATTTTATATGCAGATACAAAATTTATTTATAGTGTCCATGCAGTGAAAAAAACTTATTAGAAATTCTCTTCATCATGGATAGTAAATGCTCATTGGTCAATTAGGTTTTTCTCCTGTTAATTTTCTGTGAAAAACAGTTGTTTGCATATAAATAAATGGGATATTTTAGCAGTCATCGTATTTTTTCATATTTTACATATACAGTAGAAGTCCAGAAATCCGCAACGCTTGGGACCAGAGGTTGTGCGGATTTTAGGATTTTGCGGATTTCAGGATAGGAAAAATAATATTCAGACTAAAAGTGCAAAATAAATAAGGCATAGTTAAGACACAATAACACGCCGAATAAATACTAATTCAGAAGTCAAAAACAAAATCAGTTATATTTACAAAAATTTTCACAGATCTTCTGAATTAGTAAATAAGGCATTTAGATACTTTAATTAAATTATTATATACATTAATACAAATTAATTATATGCATTAAATTATTATTACATAAACTGATTATATTATATTGTTCATTGACATTAGGCTTCTCTATTTTTAAATTAGCATGAATCTGCTTCCCCTTTTCTCTCAGGAGTAGTCCTGAAATAGGTAACCCATCACTCTGCCACTGCCATAACCACTCGTACGAGACAGCATCGAGGTTTGCCGATTTCGCCTCGTGTAAAGATTTCCGATTTCGGATTTCAGTGTTAGAATCACTGTTACTATAAAATTTCAACAGCTTTTCTGTATTGTTCCGTATATTATGCACAGTCCATGTGGCAATTTCATATGATTTTGTTATAAACTGAGCAGAAGCACCTATTTCCATCTTTAGCAAAATTTCCACTTTTTTCATTACCGTCAGTGCAACGTGTTTATGTTTTTCACCGTTGCAAGCAGTAAAATCACGAGTGCATTTCTTATCTGTCATTGTATTAAAAAACGCTGAAATTTAAAATATACTTAATTTATCCCAAAAATAGCTGTATAAAATAAAACAGGGTTCGTAGCGGTCCTTATAAGTGCTTATAAGTCCTTATATTTGAAAATAAAATATAAAGGCCCTTATAGGTGCTTACTTTTTATTTAAAGCCCTTATTTTTTTGTTTTTAGTGCTTTTTTTTGCTTTTAGTGCTTTTTTTTTTTTTTTTTAATGAACGCGCTATTTTCCCCCGTACCAAAGCCGAAACTAATAAACAACTTTTCTTCCTAATATGGAATGGAGATGTGAGTCCTACTCCCGGAAATAGCTTTTCCCCTTTCTCTGCATTAACATAACCTTTGGTGTGCACGAAGAGTACAGACAGGTGCCCGTCGTTCTATTGGTCAAAGAATTGCAAAAGCGAAAGATTCCCCTTTCTCCGCAAAATCTTGAATATTGAAACTGTTACAGTTCGCTGCAAAACAAGCAACGGACTTTTTTTGGGGGGGAGGGGGTCACTTTCCAATCTGGATTGAATAGGATTAAAAGTTCTGCAGTCTACCAACCCAAGTGAAGAATGATTCTATTCCGGAAATTTAACGCCGTCTGTTGAAAATTAGAATGAAAAACAGTTATTTAGTTCTTTATTCTCCGAATACCGGCAGTTGTTGATTCCGATTGCGTAATATCACGTAGGGAAGAATTACGGCCCACGTATTGCGCAATAACGTTTTGCGATATTTTGCAGAGATAATTAATTTTGATGTTCGGTCCGAGATTTGTTTATGAACATTGAGTTTTACTGTACTTGCAATAATTTTTTTAGTTCCGTTGGTTTATTTTATATGCACATATTGAAATGCCAAAATCATTTTTATTTAGCGGAAAAATCTAAAGAGCGCTAAAGTCTAAATTCCCCCCCCCCCCCGCTCTTCAAGTTACGCTCGACTGTCCGAATATTCGCCAGTTTCCAATGCGGGTTGTTAAGCTTTACTGTTAAAGATGAAGCAAACTTCTATCTCTGATTTCAGAAATGTTCCTCTTTTTTACTTAAGTTACTTTGCTTGCATATCTCTTAAGAGAAAACTGATATACAATGAAATTAGAAATGTTCAGAATTAGATTTAAATTATTAAATATCATATGAGTGGAAAATAATTGTGTTTATTATTAGGTTCATGTAATACAATAAATATGCTTATGATTATTTATTTTCTATTTTGAAGAATTTCATCATTAATTTGTCTATGTTTTATTCTTCATAGTTTTTTTTTCTCTCATTGTAAATATTCTTAATTGAACTATTATTAAAATTAAAAACAAAAAAAAAAAAATTATTTCCAGGTTAGGTAATGCTTATTCTCTCTAATAAGTAATTCATTTCTCATATTTTAAATTACAAGTCTAATTTTTAGGTTATGCAGTTGTGTATGAGTAATTTAGACGGTTTCTTATTTTTCTTAAATGCGCTTGAAAGTGGTTATAGCTTACTTTTTTAATAAAATGTGGCTGTGAACCCTGTAAAATGACATCACTAAACAATCTCGAGAAATAACAAGCTCATAGTCACAAAGGAAGCATGAACTGAAGAAGAGTTGAGTTAATCGTCTGCTTTCTTACCTTGATGCAGATTGGAGGGGGAAAACTCTTTTCATATCAAAATTGGTATTTCTCTTTTATTAATTATGACGTCATTATCCAGTAAGTATTTTTTCTTCGATATTTCATACTCCATGTTGCGATTTCTGGAACCTATAAACTAAATGTTTATATTTTGAGAGGCATTGCGGATTTCAGGTTGGCGGATTTTTGATATTTGACTGTATTTCCAAACAAAGTGATTCTAAGGATTATCAGCTAGAGCCCACCATCTGTGGTGGGGGCACAAAGCGATTATTTTTAGTGCAAAAATTCATAACTGAGCATGCTTACTTTTTTACTAGTACAAAAGAAAGTAAACCAATTTTCTGTCATCAAATCTTTGATCCTTATATATTATATATTGTGGGATTCTGCAGGTACGTGGATTTGAACACTCGATGAAGAATCAAAACACAATTTGCGTAACCCATATTACTCAGGTTACTATTAAGTTCCAAAAATCTACAGTCATCGAAAAACTACGACAAACACGTTAAAACAATCAGCAACACAGGCTATCAGGCTATAACGGTGAAGACAGCTTCACGGCAAAACACAAAAGTGCAGCTTTCGACTCGGTCGATCACTTTTCGACCTGGACACACTCAAGATGAAACTCAGCGATACATTACTACTCTGTGTACATGCAGGGTTTATATAGCTTTTGATCTGCCTTCAAGAACATTCTGGGGTAAACCAATAAGAATTCGTTCTAGAATGTTCTCTCTCTGTCCATGGCATATTGCCCATTTTATCACCAATTGGGTAGTTTCATGGCAAATATGGCAACTCAGCCTTCTCTTGTCATTTTCTGGCAACCCCAAACCTGTCTTGTGGGGAAGCTATCTTATTGCAGCTAGGCAATTTGAAACAGTATTAATCATATATAAATTGTGTGTTGGTTGGGTCAATTTATGAATTTTCTGATATGTTGTTTGTGTTTTTAATGGAAATAAAAATAATGTGAACTCTGACTTTAAATAATTAAAATCTTTGCAACAATATGTGATAGAAATGTATTTAGGGCCTGCCAGTTTGAGATCTCTTTTTTGTAATACATTTTTTATGTTAAGCTTTATTATATTTGTACACTGTAGTAAAATGGTTACATAAATGAACAATTATTGAATGGAGAAGCTTCAAAAAAATTTATCATTTGGCATATGAAAATGTATGTTTTATTTTTAATTGTCTGTTTTTTCAAGTCAAATGCATTAAAAATAATTAGAACATTTATGGCTCCTATGATAATGTTTACTTTCTTATAGGCAAAAGCCTTAGGTCTTCTCGACAATAATACATTCCGCGGAGATTCTGTAAAGGGATCAAGGCAGAAAAATTCTAGATTTCCAAACAGAAGCTGTCCTCCAGTACCTTTGTCTCGCAGTGTTGATCATCGGCCAAGGTCAATAATTGTAACAGGTTCTTCTGACAGAGATGGGCTACTAAAGCATTTCTCGGTTAGTTAAATTTACTTGAATTTATATTGCTGTTGTGCTGCATTAGTATTCCAATCTATAATAGTAACTTATTATTTTCATTATTAATTTTCTAGCAGAACAAAAACAATCACTTTTTATTCCAAGTGTTTTAACAAATAAACAAAGGCTTTTTAAGAAAACTTCCATAAAGATAATTCTTTATTCCTAAATTTGAGGTATGCAAACATATATGTATTTTGGATTGATTATGGGATTTGATTATGAATGCAGAAATACATATTAATAGCTATGGCACAAATTTGCAGTGAAACGTCACATTCCCCTAAAGTGATCCCCTGTTGACTCATTGTAAAAAAGTAAATAAATAAATAAATAAATAAATTTAAAAAAAAAGTAATGATATTGTAGAAATAGTTGGTGATGTAGTAATGTAGAAAGTCTAGAATGTGGAATGCTGAATCCATAATGAACAATAAACTTGGCAGTCGAGGCATATTAAATATTCATCTCTATTTCAATTGGCATTCACAGCTATAATTCACTTGTCATTCAAATTGTGCCTATTTGAACATTTATATTTTTGATACTGTTGCGATAGGAAGAGAGAAAGGTCTTAACAAGAATGTAAGTAGAAGCAAAAGTATGCAATTATCCAGTATGGAAGGTTGGTCTGGAGAAGGTTTCAATTTAAGTTCCAAATTAGTTACATGATCAACATTATTAAGCCATATGTATGGACTGATTTAGAAATGACACAGAGAAATTTCAGTGCATTGCAGATGCTAGGAATGGGACATATAAAAACATAAAGAAGAAATTTAAAGAGCTATTTCTAATTAAGGTAGTAATTTATCAGAGATCTATTTTCTTAAATTTATTAGAGATTTATTTTATATTTTACACACACACACACACACATATATATAAAGCATCTAAATTTATTATTAAATTGGAATAAAAGCAAGGCTGTTCCTTTAAAATATAATATTTGCAACTGTGTATAAGAGGTTTAACACAATATCAAAACAAATCCAAATTCATAGTGGAACAAACTCAAAAAATAAAAATGCAAAAGGGAAAATATACAAAATTATACAAATAAAAATTAATCACCATTTATTGAAACTCCAATTCAGAACTCATCAGGGGAAAATGAATTAAAGCTTCATAAAAGTCGATTAATATGTTTCAAAAATATGTTTCGTTCTTCTGGTCCATTTGAGATCAAAAACTGTAAAAAGATTTCCACAATTTTTTATTAAGGACTGTAAAATTCATATAAAACTGCAGACTCTAATCTCAAGTGTACCAGCATTTTCTCTTTGTGAGATGGAAGAAGATATCAAGAAAGGAGGGGGGGAGTATTTGCAGTGGCATTCTAGTACTTAAATTTACAACCTACCTCTGCTTTAAAACTAGCGATAATTTAAGTTGTCAGAAAAAAAAAAAAAAAAAAAAAAACATAATATGTTAACTAGTGATTCAAAGTCCTTAGGTAGATGTATTGTCTACTTTCGTTTGCAACACACAGGAAATAAGGTTATTGATTTTTGTTTTAATCTTTATTACACTTCAGCTATTTTACCGGCTAAATTAAATTGCATTGTTTTCAGTGGTGCAAGAATGAAAATGATGCTATGGATTTTAAATTCTGCATTTTATTTTTGTGAAACATTCCCAAAATTTGATTGTTTGATTTAATAAAGTAAAAAATATTGTTCAAAAAATGATTCATTATTTCCAAAATATTTTGAGTTTATTTATATAGTTATTTTTATAATGGAGTGAAATTTATTTTTTATTTATTTATTGTATGTATATAAAATGAAATGTTTTAGCACAGTTAAAAAAGGCTAGTTGTCTTTAAACAAGGAATGGAGGTCTTTTAAAAGTAACTGTAGCATCCCTTGGCCACTGATGCAGAATAAACACACCAATTAGTTCAAGTGTATTTGTCCATAAGATGGGTATGTTAATATTTAGAGAAAGCTGTTGGGTCTTCTAGTTTTGTGTAAAATAAGAAAATTAAAAATGCAATAATAACTCTAAAAACTTTAATTTCATTAATACTGTTATAAAATCTATCATGTTAAAATGCTAGTTATAATAATGAAAATTTGTTGTGGTTATTCAAAATAATTAATGGGTGATTATGGGGACTCTAAAATTATATTTCTCTTCATTTGCTTCTGCTTTAATGCTTCTATTGTTAAGCATTTTTCTCTTTCATGGGGAAATATGTAACTATAAATTTAAATTAGCAATAGCCCTTAATTCCTCTTTCTAATATGGGTACATCCCCTCTCTATTCTAAAAATTGTAATAACTTTTTCAGGACTTTTTAATTTCTAGATCAATCCTTGCACATGACTTAATAATGCTGATGTAGCTAATTCAGAACTTAAACCAGAAGTTCCTCTTAATAAACTGCCATATTAGATAACTGCACTCTTTGCTTCTACCTCTGTTCTTGATAAGATGCTGCTTGATACTTTTCTTCCCTATAGCAACAATATCTAAAATGTAACTGTTTAGAAATAGGCACAAATAGTGTGCCTAGTGAACTGTGGCTGCAAAGTATTTAGTTATGATGAAAGAAATGTGATTTAAATCTGCTATGACTGCATCTTATTCCATCTATGTGACTTCCAAGTTTCTTTTTCATTCTGGGTTTACTCAGTCTATCTGTATTTTACTCAACATCTATCTGAATCATTTCCAATCATTATATATATATAAAATATATATAATGTATGAATTTAGAACATCCAATTCATTAAAAAAATGTCCAGTTACTAAAAGTTATTTTTCTGTCTGAAACATAATTTTTTTAAAAACTTTTAGTCAGAGCAGCAGTTCCATTTCAGAGATCAAGTTTTAACCTGTCTTCAGTTAATTCATATGTAATTCAGTTAGTTTACTCTATTTTACATATGCCCACTCATGATACCATATAAAATAATGTTGTACTAACATTATTCAACAAATTATACAGTTCAACTAACAAAACTTCTAAAACTAAAAATCTGCTATGACTGCATCTTATTGCATCTATGTGACTTCCAAGTTTCTTTTTCATTCTGGGTTTACTCTGTCTATCTGTATTTTACTCAACATCTATCTGAATCATTTCCAAATCATTATATATATATAAATATATATATATGTATGAAATTTAGAACATCCAATTCATTAAAAAAATGTCCAGTTACTAAAAGTTATTTTTCTGTCTGAACATAATTTTTTAAAAACTTTTAGTCAGAGCAGCAGTTCCATTTCAGAGATCAAGTTTTAACCTGTCTTCAGTTAATTCATATGTAATTCAGTTAGTTTACTCTATTTTACATATGCCCACTCATGATACCATATAAAATAATGTTGTACTAACATTATTCAACAAATTATACAGTTCAACTAACAAAACTTGTATATATATACATAATACAGAATTTTAATATATAATGCAAAAGTTAATTTAAATTTTAAAGTACATTTTATTTTACATATTTTAAATCAGTTGCCGTTTACAGATTACAAAATCGTAAATTCTAAAATGTTTCAAGGAAGACTTCTTTTTATTCATTTTCCTGGTTCCTGAACATGATAAATTGGTAACTTCAGTGTCAAAATGGTACTTCAGTATCAAAATGATAAAAAAGGGTGGTTCTTATATTAATAATTGAAGTAAGTAAATATCGAATTTGAGTGCATGAAAAATGATTTTTTGTAAACTTCTTAAAAGTACCTTGTAAGCATACTTCTGTTACATAACTGAGTATATACATATATGTATATATATATAGAGAGAGAGACTTAAAGTATCTAAAGTTAATAGGTGCTTTAAGCCTTTGGATGCTTTAAATGTATTTTACTTCACTCCTGCAGATGTAGTGCAGGACAGTTTTAAAAAATTTGTTTTTAATTTTTAGTCTATCATTATGTTTCTTATGTGTGTATATAGTATGTACAGGGTTATTCAATAAGAAAGAGCAGATTTCAAACATTTATTTCTTCCAAACTACAAAAGATAGAAACATGATTCTAAAGTTAATGGATAGAGAAAAGTTTACAATTATGGTATGCATTCAATATATGCATTCAATAACTGCAGTTTGTATGGCTTCATGTGCAGATGATGTTTCAGAACTCGCCATGCAGTTAGTTGAGGAATTTTTTAAGTTCTTTGCTTGCTCGCGATGTGGATTTCTTTGGGCTCCTTTCGTAAAGTGTACGAATACGGTCGACATTCTCATTCGATGTGCGTGGACGTCCTGTGTTTTTTCCTTTGCAGATGCAACCATCTTCTACGAATTTTCTATGCCACTCGTAAATTTGCTTATAACGCACGCAGTGGTTGTTTATTAAATTGACGGCGAAATGCTTGCTGAACTGCAACAATGGACTCTAGTTTTGCCAATTGTAGAACACAAAAAGACTTCTGCTGTGATGTCGCCGCCATTTCACTGCAGACTACCAACTGACAAATAATACCAGAACAGCGCCAATGCGGCCATGATTGGAACTTTTACCCATACTAAATTGTACACTTTTCTTTATCCATTAACGTTAGAATGATGTTTCTATCTTCTGTAGTTTGGAAGAAATACATGTTTGCAATCTGCACTTTCTTTTTGAATAACCCTGTGTATGTATTCAAAATAAAGTAATTAAAAGTAAATTAAAAAGCCTGTGGCTCTTCTGTATACAACAAGCAGGTGGATTTAAAATTTAAAGAGCATATGCTAAGGTCAAATTGTAACTGTTGCATAAATCATGCAGTATTCTTATCATGTATTCTTACTTATGTAAAGAGGAAATTATTTTCGTAAAATTTATAATATTTTTCAGCATTTTGGTGAAGTTGAGAAGATGGAAGGTGAATTAGGAAAGTATTTTGTCGTGAAATTCCGAACAAGAGTTTCAGCAGAAAAGGTTAGTGGATAATTACTTGTATATTTTTCTGCATTGAGGCAAATAGTTATGATCATAATATGAAAAAATATAAATGCACTTTTACTGTTTGTGAGAATAATACTCTGTGCTATATACTTTTTATTTGATCATGTGAAAAATGTTGTCTAAAAATAATTTGAAAATTTTTATTAAAATCAAGTAATAAGGTATTTCTTTCCTTTTTTATTGTATGTTCCCCACATTGGTTGTTTGTAAATTGCTTAGATTGTTTTGGTTTATGTTATTACGGCAAAAAACTCGAGGGCTGTCTAAGGGAAGAGATGCCTTTGTGGATGATTTTCTAAGAGAAACTGGTTTGTATTCACTTTGCGCATTGTGAAAATCATTAAAATGCCTATGCAGCCACCCGTTTGCAGGATTCAAACCTCAGACCAAACTATCAATGTTCAGCAACTTTTTATTGCTTGGCACTGGTGGGCCCTTGTAATTGCTTAGCAAAGTTAATATAAAAATGAGCTTATGTTTTTATTATTATTTTTATCTGCATTCAAGCAAGCAATGCAGCGACTTAAATTTGTAGGAAAAGTCTTTATCATTATCACTGACAAGTTTCCTATTTAGCAACATTTATAATTCAGGGTTCGTACGGTCCTTAAAAGTCCTTAATTTTTTCAAAAATGATTTTTGGTCCTTAAAAGTCCTTAATTTTGTCCAAAATAAATAAATGGTCCTTAATTTTGCTCATTTGACATTTCTAATGATTGCCATTCTAAGTGTGAATTACGATTTCTCATGAATATGGAATTAAAATTGCATGGCTCTTAACCAATCTGTTGGCGGATTTGCGTTGCAAACGATAAAAAAAAAAACAATTAGCTACTCGAACGAAAGTATCGGTGTCTGATTGGCTATTCACCCAATCTTTCGAAACAGGTGTTATCCATAAATTTAGGCAGATTGTGACGAAATTGCGAAGCCGGAAGTTCTTTAAGAGGCGAAATTGATGATGAAGGTGCTCGAGAAAAGAAAAGGGCGGGGGATTCTAAAAATATTTGCCAAAATTAGAGCAATCCCAACCTGGAAGGCCACAAACCCTTCCGACGCCAATAGGAACGAGATGCCTGGAAAGTGCATTTTCAATAAGCTTGTGGCCTCATCAAGCTGACTACAAAGACTGGATATTGATGGATGGCAAAGCCTTTTAAAGCTAAATGCGGTCTTTGTCTGAAACAAATTGAAATTTCTAGAATGGGAGAGTCAGCGCTGAAATTCATTTACATGAAAATTAAGTTTCGTTTTATCATTTCAATTTGTTTTTACACGGTTTTGCTTAGCTTAATTTCTGTGTTTGTTTCAATTTCTTGTTTTTTTAAGCCATAAATTAACTTTTTATCACCTTCTGCGGAGTTTATTCTCTTTTGCACATACTATATGTATGGGATATCGGGATTATGAGTTTATTTCTGCAGCAGGGTTGTCTGTTATCGATTTCGCGGGAAATCTGTTGGCTCCATTTTGATTTTAGGTCGCCAAGGGCACATTCGGTAATGCTAGCCGAGAAAAAGTGAAGTTCGGAAATACGTTTTGAAGCTTCAATAGACAGTTAAGTATTTGGTTTAAACCTATGTTGATGATAGTAATGCATAATTTTTGCTAATAGCGATACAATTATTAGTTGAAAATAACTAATTAAAATTTTTTTAATATTTTGAAAGCTGAAAACAACTAATTGAAACTAATTTTCCTGAATTAACTAGACGCAAAATTAACTTTCATGAATTACTAAAGTTATTGAGTAGAAGCTTAACTGAAAATATACATTCTGTATTATATATATATTTATACAGTTTAAAGTCCGAGGTCAGTACTTCGGCGATCCCAGATTTGAGATTTTTCCTGATATTAGATAATTTTAAATCTACTAAGATAGCACGTAGAAATTATAAAATTGAAAATATGAAATCGTGATTTATGAAATAATGAAGCATTTATGATTTAAAGGGTATCAAAATTTACAAAAGAAAAGAGCTTAATATTTATATGTTTACTTTATTAAACATTTCTTTCAATGTAAGTTGTCTGATTTGTTTTCTCTGCTAATACTTCAGACTAATACTATAGACATATAATTTCTTGTTCAGTTATTAAGTTATATTGTTCAAGTCCTGTAATTGCTGTGTCGAGAATTCTGAATAACTTGTCAATCAAAATTTTTTCTCGTTCAGTAACCTCTCTGTTACTTTCTTCACTATCGGTAGCTGTATTTTCTGGATTTAGAACCATAGTACGGATTTCACCCTCCGTTAATTGATTGATGATTGGGCATTGTCATCACAATGAAAAATTTCTGTTTAACTTCGCTAAATTCTGCCGCCTGGTGCGGCCATGCGAGCTCTGGTGCTGGTTCTGGCTTTATGTGAATAACAAATCAGTTATTCTTAATTCAAATAGCACTAAATATAATCGTTTGTCCTATGAGTATCATTAACAAAATCTATTTTTAGCATAAGGAAAGAAATTTCTGCTAAATCTCCCCTTGTCAACATTTTAGCGCATTAAACTTAAATCTGTAATCGGATAATACTCTGTTATTTGGCGTCGCTGCATGATTTATCACTCAAGTTGTCATCCGTTGATAAACATGCGGTGATGAAAGCAAAATACAATAAATAATGATTCGCGATTTTGGGCATCAAGGATATAAAATATTAGTTGGTGTAAAATTAACAAATGTTTCGGTTTTTGAGATTATGCCAAGCAGATACGCAGCTATATGGAGTCAAGTTACTAATTACACAAATTTATGCTAAAATAATTATTTCTTCAATAATGAGATATTTTATTTAGCGCCAAACTGAGATTAAGAATCGGGCTTTCTGGCATGTTTTTTTATGATGAGGAAAAAAATCTAATGCGCATGTGTAAAGCATACCCCTTCCCTTCCAAAAAAGGCCCTAAAAAATTGGTTTGGTGGTGGCTTTGAGGTCTGGATTTTATATCATTTCCAGATATTGGATGTCCGGATCTCGGAATTTGTACTGTATATATATATATATATATCTTTCAAAATATAACTTACCAGTATGGATTCACTCTTTTAAAATAATTCTACTTTTAATTAAACTTAGGATATAATATAATCAATTAATCAATATTGTTTAGGAAATAAATTATATATATATATAGTAAAAAATGTATATTTTCACTATTCAAGTATTCACTGTGACAAGTATTCTTATCTTGTCACATGAACAGGCCTCTGTGGAAAGGGGCTTCTCTGTAAATAAAGCAATTGAAAATTTAAGTGACTCATCATACATTTTTCAACGCACAGTATTTGATTATATAAAATTTTCTGGAGGTGTTTCTTAATATCAAAATTAATAAAGAAATGAGATCAGCAGCAGCTTCTGCAAGAAGTGGAGTTCGTTATTTAGAAGTTCAGTATTTAGAAGAACGTTCAGTATTTAGAAGAAGTATTAGAAGAAAATCTTTAACTAAATCTGAAAATTCAAAGAGGAAAAGAAATATTATTTGAGGAAGAAATTGATTTATATGAAGCAGAAGAAAAATTTTCTTCAAAGGGACATTAAAGATATTAATGAAGAAGTAGATTGCTTTTAGCAGATGAAGCTGAGACCAGCAGGAACATTGATTTGTTATCAAAGCAAATGAACTTAGAAAGAATAGTTAAAGAAAAGGAAATAGACATAAATAAATTAGATGTTAAAATAGCTGAAAAAGATTTCAGATTTAAAAAATGCACAAATGTTTTGTATCTTTTTATTGTACAGTTTAGTTATTCTAGTATCTTTCAAAAAACCAAGGATAAAATTGTATGTTTACAAATCAGTTATTTGAATCTGCAAAATATTCTTACATTGTGATTATAATAGTAGTTGACTGTGTTTAAATAAATATTAAATAAGTTAAATAATAATCATGTAAATCTCTAAAATAGTGACTGTTATTAGTGTAAAATACACTTATACATGTTTTTCAAGAAATTATGTTCCTAATATAATGTTATCTACTTCATAACTTGTAGGGAGTTAGTTTAATTTTCAAAATTGTTTTATGGTAAGTGTTAAATTGAATTTAATAATAGTGCATAATACACACTTCTGTTAGTTTCTTAAAGTGAAATTACAAGCATGAAGTCGGTTGTATGGATAATTGCTTTATTCTATTCATTTTTTTGTTTGCTGATAGGTCCTTAATTTTTTCTTTGATGGTCCTTAAAAGTCCTTAATTTTCATGTAAGGAAATGTGTACGAACCCTTTAATTTTATCCCTTATTTTTTAATTATTTCATAAATTTCTCTGTTTTTGCTTTCTGTGCAGTTTGGATACAATTATCCCAGAGGTATTTTCATTGAAATTTGTCAATTTAAGTTTTCCTTTTCAGAAAATTTCTCTTCTTAAATCAGTTTTTCATTTTGTAATTCAGCAATTTGATTCTGAAGTCTAAAATTTACAATTGATTTTAAATCAAATTGTGTTAGGTTATATACCAGTTTTATAAGTGTCAGCAAGATAATCTATTTTTTAAATTATTAAAAGTGATTATGAAATTAGTGAGATTTACATGGGGACTAAGAAAATATGGGCTTAGTTATAGGTCAGTGAAATTCTTTTATGTGTGTGTATATGTGAATATCCATGCATTTATGTATGCAGTGATTTTTAGGAATCTCACTTAAAAAGATTTTTAAATCTACAGAATTAAGGTTTGTGTGGCTCAAAGCCATGAGCAAAGTATAGGATTGGATCTGAAGATAATTTTTGCTGTATTTCAGAAAGATGTAATTTTCGCTGTATTTCAGAAAGATGTAATTTTTGCTGTATTTCAGAAAGATGTAATTTTTGCTAGATTTAAAAAAGTTGAAATTTTTGTTGTTGTTTGTATTTTGAATTAATTCATAATATTGTTTTTAATTAATTTTCATTTGCATTATGGAAAAAAAAAATGTTTGTTTAAAAAAATGCATTAAATTTTGATACTAAAGAAATCAAGTCCTATGTTTTACATATGAAGTCTTATGTATGTCTATATATGTTTGTTGTATGCTTGAAAAATGTTTTCCCCTTCTTTTGATGTGACAGAAAATTGAAAAACAATGTAGAATTTTTAGAATAGAAAAAACAATGTAGAACATTTTACAGCAAAATATTCGTGTTCAAGATTTGGGCATGGTGTTGACTTTTTATGTTTATAGTATTCTATAATTCTAATGTTATTAACACAAAATTTTAAATAATTTGCATTGCACTTATATTCTTCACTGTAAGATTGCTTTCAGCCCAAAAGAGACATTAATCCCAAATGGGATATTAGTCTTGAAATGGTATTCTGGGTTGAATCACAATAAACTATGCATCACTTTTCAAATTCTTGCCACCGAATATTATTGCTCTGAATAAACTGAATAAATTAAATAATGAAGAATTCACATGAATGTATATATGTCTCCCACATTATGAAAAACAATGACATGTAAAGCCAAAATATGATGCAATTTATATTCTTTCACTGTAAGATTACTTTCAGTCCAAAAAGAGACATTAGTCCCAAATGGGATATTAGTCTTGAAATGGTATTTTGGGTTGAGTCAAAATAAACTATGCATCACTTTTCAAATTCTTGCCACCAAATATTATTGCTCTGAATAAACTGAATAAATTAAATAATGAAGAATTCACATGAATGTATGTATGTCTCTTGCATTATGAGAAAACAATGATATGTAAAGCCATCAAATTTTGAATAACGTAATCCTCAAAATTTTGTGGATTCACCTGAAAGCTTGAATTTTGAATTTGTTTTATTATCTATTTCATATTCTAGAAAACGTTTATTGATTTTTTGATTAACAAACTCTATGCTTTCAAAGCGAGCAGTGGCAACACTGTATGGAATAAAATATTTTATATCCACCATGTGAGACTGTCTATAGGAAATTCTAAAAATATGCTGTTTTTAGTTTAAACATACTTCTCATATTATATGATTGATTCCCCCCCTTTCCTTAATGGTAAGATAGGAAGAAAAGTGGTTCTGCTGTACATGCAAAGCAGGTGGATCTAAAATTTAAAGAGCATATGTAGAGGTCAAATTATGACTGTTGCATAAAACATGCAGTATTTTTATTTTCCTGTGTCAGTAATTTAATTTTGGTATTAAGGTTCTCAAATTGGAAACACATATGGAATGTTTTGCTTCTAAAAGAAGAGGTTTAGAATTTTTTGGAATGACTGGATCACATTCTGGAATCAGTTTAAAAGGATTCTTGAAGAAAAATTAATGAAAAAAGAAGATAAATTCAGTACTTATTTCAAGGAATGATAAAAGGCCGAGCTCAGGACACTGTAAAGAGTTGTTTCATACACGCAGGAAATTATGAAAAGGTCATAGAATATCTCAAGACTGAGTTTGGAAGGGAAGGACTATAAATGGAATTTTATGTTCATGAGTTGTTAACCCTAGTTATAAAAAATTCTACTGAGAATGAGAGAAAAATTAATATTGCAGTGTTGTACAGTGGATTGGAATCTTGAGCTTTAGAGTCAGTTGGAATGATGCAATGAATATGCTGTTGTGTTGTTCCTTTGGGTTGAATTGTGTATTCCTAAAGACATCTTAAGAGTTTGGCTAAGGAATCACTCTTCTGTAAATAACACTGAGGGCTCCTATTGTGAAAAGTTAAAGCAATTGTTATTTTTTAAGAAATGAAGGAAAGCAATGAATTTCACTTTCAAAATCAGATTTTAAAAATTTTTAATCTGCTTCTCAAAGAGACAGAAAAAATCAAAATGAAGATTTGATCCCTATAGCAAATAATTTATTTTTGTTCAAAAAATGACCCGTAAAGTTTAATGAACATAAAATTTCTCTTTTTTTGCAGAAAATAGCGTGACAATAAAGATCGTTTTAGGGCTCTAAAAATACATTAAGTCAAAAATAAAAAGAACAAAAGAGTTTGCTGCATTTATTTTAAAGTGGGAGAAAAAGCGAAACATTTCAAAGCAAGTGTCCAATATATAATCTGTTCTAAAAGTCATAAGGTTGTTATGTGTTGAGAACTAACTATAAATCAAGAAAGGGGAAGTAAAATTAAGTGATGAAAAACAATGTTTCTGTAGCTGATTGTATAGTACAGAAGCAAATGATACAGTGTATCATCAAAGTTTAATGGTCAATGATAATGGAAGAAAGCGAACCACTAGGGCACTTATTGATGATTTCAGCATTTGTTTATCTTTAAAGGTTGATCAATTAAAATTGAAACCTATAGTATCTGAAAACTTAACACATATAATATTAGGAGAAGGTATGTCAAAAGAAAAACATAATCATAATTTAGAAGTAAGCACTAAAAAATGTGCAGAGCCCTTATTCATGTCAAATAGAAGCTCTTGAACTACCAACTATCTGTGAATCTTTTCCAAGAATTCAAGAAGCTTCTTGCAGGAATGAATTAAAGGCTAAAGTAATTAAATTCTTGTTGGAATAAAGGTACCTTTAATTGAACAGTTGATAGAGCTACCTGCCTTCGCTGGAAAACCATCCTCCAGAAAAACTTGTTCATTAAAGTGTGATTTTACTGCTGTAAAGACCCATTTGGGCTGTACATACCAATTTTTTATTTTGTTTCACAAAATGTAGGAATGGCGAATATAACAAAGCAAAAACAGCAGGTGAGCCATTCCTCCAGACTAACAGACAGAAATTTTTGTGTGCCTCTTTAAAAAACTGTAGGGGAATTACACAAACTGCTACTGACTATAGGATGATTACACTTTTGTCACTTGAGTGGCTAAGGGAATAATATGTTTCCTATTATCTGACCTAAACAGTAAATGAAGACCTGAGACATATTTATTTGGAGTATGCTGTTGCTAATATTGGTTTCCTTTTATTGGTATAACAGCGGGAAGAGAGAAAGAATTAAATTCAAAAGAAATGAAGCTCAGCTAACATAAATTGTGTTCTTCCTTAATTAATTTAATCCAGCTTATTATTTTTTGCAGACTATCACTATTACATCTATCTTATCTAAATTAAAAACTGAAAAGTAAAAAAAAACTTTCTAATTTGAGCTGTAGCAGGATCTCTGAAGAGAAAGCACATTTAGCTCTTGCCTTCTGTAGCGAGTTGGTGTGAGAAAATGATGTTGGTACAATTAAAGGTTTAGAAAGTGCAATATCAAAATTAGGCAAAACAGCAGCCTTATTTCGCTGTAGATTTTGAGTGCTATAGAAGGCAAAATTTTCCAGTTATCCTCATAATGCACTTAACCGAGTTAACTCATGTATGCTAAATTAAATTAACTAAATTATTTCCATGCATGCGAATAAATACATTAAAGAATTTTTTTTTCATGATAGTAATAAAAGAGAATACATCTACTACACTTTTCATTTAAAATAAAGATTAAAAAAAGACCACATTCTTAACTTTTATTGGTACATTTAAAGGTAATGGAATTTTTGAAGAAATGTGGAGAAGTGATAAAAAGTGAATATGATATAACAGAAATTTTCCATTGTAATAACAGTGCTCCTATCAGCAATTAGCTAATGGATGGCAAAATCTGTAGTATTGTTTTAAATGTAGAAAATATTGCTCCAAATGTAACAAAAGACAAATATGAAAATATGACAAAAGAGATGTGAAAGAAAATGTTACAAAAGGAGAAAATGTTACAAAAGGAGAAAATGTGACAAAAGAGACAAAGAGAGTTTTCAAAATAAAAAAATTTCGATTGACAGTTTAGTGAAAATTTTCAACACAACATTGCAGGACTTGAATGATTGAACTTTGTAACTGACTAAGAAATTATGCCTATGTGTCAAATTAAAGAGGAAATATTAATACAAAAAAGGAAACCACTTACAAGAAATTTAATGTTTACTAAAACTTGAACTTTTTGTAAATTTTGATTCCATTAAGGTCATAAATGCTTCATCTTTTTATATATATTTTTAATTTTATAATTTCTCCATGTTATGTTACTAGATTTAAACCGATGATGTAAAATCCGGAATCACTGAACTGGCAGTTGCGGATTGCAAACTTTGTAGTGTATATCAATTTGATTTGTACCTTTCGTCAGTTTTATAAATATATTATAATACCTTCCTTAATTTGTTCTTGTCCTTTTTGTTTTAGTAGTATAGTAATTAAAAGTATTAAATTTCATATTCTAGGCTTACTTATATGGCACAAAATTTGGAGATGTAGATTTATCTCTTGCATGGCTGCAAGATTCACAAATGGCGGCTGGGGAAAATTTACGTCGCCATTCTGATTCAGCTACTTTAAAATCTGTAAGTTTTATACTTTAGAAATTTTAATGTAACATAAAACATTTTCTGGATATTTTTCAGTTTTTTTAGCCTTTTTGAATGCTTGAAAATTCTAATGGAACTGGTGTGGAAAAAATTCCTATAGTGAATATTTTCTGTGTATATTTTTATGTTATAGTTATATCCCTTTGGAACTCAAGCGTGTCCAGTAATATTTGAGTGGCTTTGAAAAAAGAAAAGTTTTACTATTGCAATGTTGTTTCTCATTCCTTGATTTATGCATTGAAAATTTTGACTTGTTATCTGAATGGATTTGAGTCATTAATATAGAATTATGTGTTAATCTCTTGAGGTTTCGCTTTGTATGTTAAAATTTTTAACCAACTGTTCATCTGAATAGTGTTTTTTTTTTGCCCTCTAATCTTCCATTACCTACCTTTAATAAGTAAATTATATTTAATTATTAGTTTATTAATTTTTAGTATATTTGATTCTTTTTTTAATATAGTTACATTTGTATTTGTAAACTCGCTAGAAAGAATAATTCCGGGTATGCAACTATTGTAAAAGCTACTGTGAGTAATTTTCCAAGGCATAAATGAAATTGTATTATCTCATTTAAAGCTTTGAATAAGAACTAATCAGTCCTAGGTAGTAATTTTAAAACATTAATGGGAATATGTCAGTGTAAGGCTTTAAATGTCAGTTTACATTGAAAACTTAACAAATTCTAATAAGTATTAACATCTAAATCATGAGTTACAATCATAATTGAATTCATTCAAGTAACCTTTTTTTATTGTAATCGAGTTATTTGTAAAAGTTGCTAGGTCAAAGATCAGGTTACAGTAATTGTCCATCTTTAGCATTAAAATGCTTATGGTTATTTACATTATTTGTTTAATTTCATTACATTATTAAATGTTGGGTGATAGTTAGATAAATGAACAATTTCTTTACTTTTTTTAGGAGCATTCAGAATTAATGGATGCTGAAGAGGATGAAGAAGATGATGAAGAGGAAGATAGTGAAGCTCGTTCTTGGCGACGATGATAAAAACCTAAATTTCAAAAATGTTTTGTACAGCTATTAGGGTAATTCTTAATATTCATATATCTTTTGAATATATTTCAATTAGAATCCTAGTTGTTAAGAACTTCTAAGAACAAAATGAAATATTGCAATGTATGCCTCTTTACTAACTGTATTAGTTTCATCATCTTTAAATTCTAAACATAGGAAAAGTTTTTCCATGCATTTATATATTGCTTGACCAAAATATCCTGTGCATGGCTTAGTATTGGACTATATGTCAATGTTTATTTTAATGACCTTTTCATATGTTGAACCGTGAAAGCATATCACAGAATTGCCATCTCTCTGGGTTTAAAGGCAGGAGACTCCTGATTTCAGACCATACTCCTGTCAACCTGATATGCAACATATTTCTCCTGACTCGCATATTAAAATATGAAAGTCAGGAGCGAGTCACGAAATTAAAGTCATTGTCTAAATTCCTTTTTCATTTTTTGAAATTTGGAAGACTTTAATTACCGTATATTCCGACACACGTTTAATACAAAAAATAAGACCGAAATTTATGAGTGCACATTATACGCCAGGTATAAAAATGTTAGAGTAAAAATAAGAAACAAATAAGCATGATAACGCAAAAAGTTTGTCCTGTTCATCTTCCATTATATCTTCAAACACATCATAGAATTTTGCTCTATCTTCACCTTCATTGTTCCTCTGATTCTAAATAAATAATCGTTATCTGTTTCATCAACACCAAACATCTTTGCTCTAGCATGATTCCCATTTTCTTTGAACTACTAATGAGTTTGCATTTGAAAGCAGCACTGTGTTATTTCATTTGGTAGAAACCACATTTACTATTATAAGAAACACTATATCAACTGTATTTCAACTAAAGCAAATGGTGATTTATTAAAGGTATGTTCACTTCAAAATCACAGCTTCAAATGGCTTCAAAAAGAGAAAACATTAGACTCCTAACTCAGCCAACTCATTCGAGTTGAAAGGGCATTTTTGCCTCAAATTCTGTCCCCTTTTTTCTCAAAACCCTAGAATAACATTCTTGTGCACACTTACGTTGAATACAACCCACCATCTTGCCAGAATTATTTACTCCCTCAGGCATTTCCTCTCCTCGACATGTATTGTTCCCCATATTGTTTGTCAATTCAGTATACATTGTTCAAATGCCTGGGAAAAGTCTTCGAATGAATGACTTCAGAAGATAAGAGCAACACGCATTTATTTTTTAGGTTTCTTTTTAAAGAAAAGAGTGCACACTGTATGGTGAATATACATAAAAATTAATATACATAGTTTGAAATTATAACTGTGCGTTATACACCTGAATATACTGTATATCCGGCTAACACATGAAACTGTAAGCTATCTTGTGCAGTTAAATTACATAAAATAATTTATGGGAAAGTGAACTTTTAATAATACATAAGCAATTCAACTATACATGATCATGAATAAGAACATAAATGCCCAAGAGAATAAGCAAATAACTGAGTGTCAGATATAATATAAAAATTTTTGAATTATCTGTGAAAATAATTTAATTTCACTTATTAATTTTGAATCTTCTTTTATTTTTTAACAAATTATTTTTGCTTTTTAGGAGCACCTGTGTATAATTCAGTGATAAATATTGGGTGAATTATTGCACCTATGATCAAAGTTCCAGCTTCAGAAAAGACTGTGAAGAGCAGAACTATCAATCATGTGCTTCACCTAACACTTCATAAAACAAAAACTGTCATATCTGCTTTTAAGGCATGGTGCACTGGTGATAATTAATTTTATCCATGTAACTACCATCAGTTGCCAAATTTGTAAATTTTTAAGTGTAAAGTTTGAAATAAACTCATTTTCTGGTGGTTTTATGACTGATTTATGGAAAAAAAGGCCAACTTTTGTTTTATGTTGAATTGTTTCTGAACAGAAGGTGATTGTAAATGGAGGTATTCTTAGGCCTCATCATGTGAAATGTATCTAAAACCTTTCCATACACAGTCTTTAAGATGACTGTGTATGGAAAGGTTTCTTTTCCAAAATACATAGCACTTTTGTCCTTTGCCATTATCAGTTAAACTAGTATATTTTTCAAATTTAGCATTATATAAGCAACTTTATTTTTTGAAAACAAAAGTATGTTATGTGACAAAATGCTGTTATTGTTTTTATGTTTCTGTTTTAATATTGATATATCACACATTTGCTTTTTAATAAAATAAATAGATTAAACTATACCGTGTTTCTCAGGTTTCTCTGTCTACGACATCAGCATTTATAGGAAAAAAAAAAAAAGCTAATTTGTTGAAGTAATGCTAATATAATTTATAAATTTATGTAGTATATAATTTTTTTATGTTATAATATATGTAAACATGTATAATTCTTATGAGGTTGATAAATTCCAGTTCTTAACAACATCCAAAGCATTCCGTTTTGGATATTCAGGAGCAAATATTTTTGCTGTGCACATTGTGAAATAAGCAGCATTGATTATAGAAAGCATTAGTTGATTATAGAAAGCAAATATGCAAGAGTTGAATAGCATTCTTTAACAGTTCAAGGTGTCATAATATAAGTGCTGTCATGGATCTACAACAGTAGCAATGGGAAGTACTGGAACACTTGCCATGTTCACCTATATAGGAGTCCATGTGACTGTGAAGAACCACTGCAAGGGTTTAGGATAATCAGTGCATAGCATCTATAGAAGCAGATATGCTAATGATGTACAAAGCCTTCCACTAATTTTGCAGACAATTGGATAAATGTTTTATGTATGGTAATAAATTCTTTTCGGAAATATTTACCTGTGGCCATTACTTTTTATTCAATCCTTGTAAATCGCACTGATTATTACAAAAAATTAGATTTGAATTATGTTATGTTAATAAGTGTCTGGATGATGTAGAATAAGTATATTAACTTTATCGCTGTTGAAATCGCATATACTGAAGTTAGAATGATACTCAAGAGCAATATTATTATGCTTTAAATCTGTGTCTGTGCACTGATTGCAGACTGGCAATTCCAAAATCCATCATCATTATGAAATTTTGTGTCTACTTCTGCTGAAAATCAAGAAACAAATACTTTACTTGGAATAGAATAGAAGAGAAACACGCCAATATGACAATCAAAATTGCAATAACATTGTATTTAGTGTACATATATTAAAACAATCGATTTTGAGGGCAGCTAAAGGTCCCTCCTCATCAGGAGAATGAAATTACTAGAAAAGGGAAAAAAGAAGAAAAATAAAGCATTGGCAAAGGAGTCTCAGAAACACGTGGTCGTTATCAGCACTGCACGTGGTCATAACCGGATTTCGAATCAGAGTTACACTGGCCGCCTACTTTTACTGAGCCAGGCTATCTGATCAAACATATAGCACATAGACTAAAACCCCAAAAAATTAGTGAAGTAAAAAATAGAGAGCGAGGGGCACCTGCACCTTCATGCACCAAGTCTAAACCTCGAATAAAGGACTTTTAGAAATACTTTACTTCTAAAAACTTCCTGTACTTCATAAAAGACAACTATTGTATTACATTAGGTATAAGTTTCAACCTCTGTTACAGGGATATGCATTAAACCTCAACAAATGAAAATTGGATGTTTAAATAGTAACAAATATTGGTGTTTTCTCATAGAAGATTCAAATATTTGCATAAGAATCTAAAAATCTTTTGCAGTAGCACATAAATTCTGCGTTGAATCTATTGTTAGAAGGCATAGATAGAAGTAGTTATCGATACTGCTTCTACATCTGAAGCAATGGGGCAGGGTTCACCTTTTCCAGTCTGTACTATGAGTGGATATTGTTTTCCTTTGCTTCTTAGATCAGGTGTGGCATTTGGAGTAAGTCGTCAAGTACAGAATGCTGTTGATTATCTGGTTTGCAGATTATTCATGCATGGTGATGCCCATGCATGAATAATCTGCAAACTTTAACATTTCACTTACACTGTGTGCGAGAGTATGTAAAAAAACAAACACATGAGAGTCTGAGCATGTTCTAAAAACTGATTTGTATCTTTAGGTTTAGTTTCAATGATTACTGCTAAATGTTAATAGCAGTGGGCCCATGCCAACATCATCAGTCATATGACTTTACCATTCTTGTCTTCTTATAGTTTTTGCTGAGGAAGATTGTAATTTTAATGAAGTTCTTTGTTGAAAACGTTGACTGTGTTTGAGGCCACATAAAACTTTGTCTAAAGTAGAACCAATAATACTGTCTCGGTTATGGAGAAAGCTTCCTACTACTGTAGAAATCACAAATTTATTTAATTATGAAAAAGTCAAAGCAATAGTTGAGGTTGTATACCAAAAAATTGAAAATGTTGATTGAGTAATGGTTCAGTGATGATTCGACTGAGCCTAGCTATCAGTACTTGAGTTATGTGGGTAGTGTTTCAAATGTCGTAAGAAAGAAAGGGCAGAGAGTGATATTGGTAATACAAATGAAAAAAGCTACTGCCAGTTGCATTACACGGGGACTCGAATACAGTAATAAAATAGCACTTCCAAAAAATGCAATAAAATTTAACAAATATTTAAATGTTCTCAAAAACAATTTAAATTGCTGACTTTTTAAAGAAATAAACACATAATATGCAAAAATTGATAGTTTGGATTATCTGCATTTATCAGTTATCCATGACCTGCTGCCTTGATATTAACCCAGCTAACTGAGAGAACACTGTATAATAGATCTGATTCATGAATGTAATTTTATGTTATTCATGTTTCAAGAAATTAATGTGAAGCCTGCTGAAACAGTTAAAATTTGTGTTCATACTTGTATTCATTGAAGGATAATAGTATGGATGAGAGAGTGTCAGCAGTTGCAGATATTTTTATTTCTAATAACTATGCTTTTATAATTTTTTACTGCCTATTTTCTAATAGGCTGTAATAGCCAAAATTCTGCATGTATGCAGCTCAATCATGAAAGCACTCCAATCAAGTGAGATGTTTAGTTAAATATCTCTTGATGAGTTAGTGCTATAGTTTTCTGAGCTATGCCATTATTCCATTTCACTGCAGTAATCGTAATGCGAAAACTTTCCCATTCACTGTACAGGATTAAAACAAAGCGTTATGAGATTATAAATACTCTTTTCACGATGCACGCACTCTCTTTTGCTGCTTGCGCTCGTAAACTAAAGGATGTCTCTTTCTTAGCTGTTTCTATTCAGTATTAAAAATGTAATACGTCATAACTAAAACTATGGGGTGCAGATTTTCCCTTTGTTATGTGTCATGCCATAAGATGTGCATGAACAGAGTAATTATTATGTAATAAAGGTACGTTTGGATTATCAAGATTTTGTGATGCTTGAAATGTTACGTCCAGTAAGATGCCACTAGTATGTCTGCCATTTCCACTTATCTAGAAGAGCAACTTCCAGCTATGACTATTAGTGAATAGTTCTACTTAACTCTCTCCTGTGACCAATTTATTATTGTAACATTTCATGTATGACAGTATATGCTATCGCTGTCTTCACTGCTCCATGACTGTCTGATAATGTTATCCTTGTATCTATACTATCATCAAGTCATCTACACTGAAATATCACAATTATAAATTACAGCCCCCTTTCCTGTGTTAAACTCCAATGGAAAAAATCTAACATATCTTCAGATCTTCGATGGTGTAATGAAAAGGGGAAAAAGGAATCTTTCATCACTCTGCTGCAGTATTTTACCAGTGATTGAAAAAATAATCATACGTAATGCTACAGAATAAAAGATTTAACTTTTTGTAATTATGTTTGATAAATTTAAATAATGAATTTTAAGAAATTTAAATTATTTTTAGGAAAGGTTAAGATAAATAATTACATTTTTGGATTTATGTTGAAAATTTTTAAATCTAGTTGGAAATTTTGAATTGTTGATAAGAATTTTTAAATGAATGAAGAATTTGAAAAAATTGGTATAGATTATGCTAAAAAAATAGTGATTTTTGAGTATTATTGTAGAAAATATTTAATATTTGACATTGAATATTATTGTAATGAATTAATAATATTAAAATATTAATAATTTTAGAAATTGCATAATTACAGTAAAACTGATTATGAGGAATGTAATTAAGAATGTATACACCAGCAAGATTCAAATGTCTTAGGAGATCATGCTCTTTCCTATGAAGCCTGTCTGATATACTTCGATGACATCATCGTTGGGAAAAGCTTTGAAGAACATTTGGAAAATATCAGGAAGCTGCTTCAGAAACTGAAGGAATCCAATCTAAAATTATGTCCCGCCAAATGTAAATTGTTCCGACAGAAAGTGACTTACCTCGAACATGTCATCTTTGCCGAATCCAGAAAAGGTTTAGATTAAAGATTGGAGACGCCTCGAAAATGCCCACCAGCTAAGAGGTTTCCTGGATTTTACACGTAATAAAGAAGATTTGTGAAAGACTTTACCTCCATCGCAAGACTCCTTCACGAACTGACAGAGAGCAAGCAAAAGTTCTTGTTTACAAAAGAATGTGAGGATGCATTCAATACACCCAAGAAGGCTTTAACATTTGCTACAGACGTAACGCATCCTTAGCTCGCAAAACCTGTCAATATTCTTGACAAGGAGCAATGCGAGCAATGAGAGTGTCATTTTGTTCCAAGAAATAAACCGCCAAGAACGTGTCGTAACATACTGGAGCAAGTGTCTGTCATAGGAAAGGATCATCACACGAACGCCCTGTCTAGAAGACTATGCCCAGAAAGCTGCCGATATTATGCCAGAGTCGAAGTGAAACACAAGCTGATTAACCCGGTCACACTAAATTACGACGTCAATATCGGCTGATCGACACCCATGGAGTGTTGAAGAAGGTAGGAAAGCCCA